TCACTTTAACTTAAACACACGCTATAATTCACAACGATTTACACAGTTTACTTACGCCTTTACTCGATTATCTGTCTCTCTCTGTCTGCAATTATTTATCTCATCACTTTATTTGCCGGCGTATATACTATGAGAGCACGTGTCTAGCAAACACTCCAGCCTTCAGGAACGTTCGAGATACTCATTATGTGTTACCAGCGTCACGTGTCTTCCACTGTCGTAACACTGCCCCTTCCTTAGTATTGTTCGTCCCGAACAATAGCTACTTAAATTAAACCAATAGATAATTAACAATAACTTAATTAAATGTACAGAATTTACAAACACAAAATTAAAATTCAACAAAGTATCTTAATTTTACGGGATATATCTTCTTCCGTACTGGTCTCTGCCTGGTTGGTTTCTGCTTCACATCAAGTTCATCTGCTCCATCAGGAAATGACCTATTATCGGTAATAGTCACATCAGAGGTAGTAACTTCATCAAGGGCTTCACAGTTTCCCTTCTCAAAACCGAGTAGAGTTTCTTCTTCGACAGTGGCTTTTTCAGGTGACACGTCTTCAGCAGTGTCAATTGTTATCTTTATCCCAACTGAAATGTCCTGGACCGCGATAACGCCAAAGCCTGTTGGCATGCACCACCTATGGCTTACCTCGCCAACCACATTTTATCCGGAAAGTCACGTCTGAGAGATGATCCACTATGTCATATAGGCCTTCCCATGGAGAAGACAACTTAGGAGACTTCCCTATGGTATTCCTGGGATTATACAAGAACACCTTGTCTCCTGGTACAAAGCTGACTTCAGTAGATCTCTTATCATAACATAGCTTCATCGAATCAGCAGACATTTTCAAGTTTGAACGCACTTCATGGTGAATATCATCCATCCTTTCGAATAACACTTTCACAAACTCTGCCACATTTTCAGGCAACTCTTCATAAGGTGGGCGTCCTGTTAACAGATCCACTGGCAACTGAAGTTCCCGACCAAACATCAACTTCGCTGGAGTGTATCCAGTGGTTTCATGCTCTGCTGTCCTATAGGCCATCAACAGTGGAGGGAGTAAGTCATCCCAGTCATCTTGGCGGCTATTACAAAATTTTGCCAATTCCTGTCCCAGTGTCCAGTTGTACTTTTCTACTATCCCATCGGACTGTGGGTGAAGTGGCGTTGTCATGGTCTTTCGGATGCCAAACAACTTGCAGCATTCTTGGAACACAGATGATTCGAAGTTATAGCTTTGATCTGAATGCAGTTCATATGGTATACCAAATCTGAAGAAGAAATCACTAATAATACTAAGAAATCAATAAATAATACAGTTGTAGCTTTCTGATTTGGTATTGCATGTGCCTCAGGCCACTTGGTGAAACAATCCATCACCACACAAATGTACTTGTTCCCAGCACGAGTTTGGGGCAGAGTACCAGCAATGTCAATGGCTACTCTTTCCATTGGTGCGT